GGAATGGGGAAAAAATAAGAACCAAGATGCATTATATAAAGGTACAATTCCCAATGAGAAATGTAATTGTGTTGTATGCCTACAATGTACCAATAAAAGAATTTAATACAAAAAAAAAAGAAGAGATCCCATTTGTTGATTGTTTGTGCTAGTTCACGGGCAAAAGACAGTCTTTATTTATAATATACTAATTCTTTGTTGGTTATAGCCTATGTTGAAAAGTTTTCAAAGTTTTTGTGGTATGTCTTTTTAATATTTTTATTCATTAAGTTTATTGGTACATTTTAGGTATACAATATGATGACATTTATAGGGTACCTTCAATAAACAGAATTTTAAAATCTTAATATGATAAACTAAACAGTTCATTCTTTTTATGGTTATTACTTTTCAGGTTCTGTTTTAAAGAGTCCTTTCCCCCCAAGTCACAAAGATATTTATGTACAAGTCAAAAATTCTAAAGTATTAGTTGGGCATAGTGGCACATGCCTGTAATCCCAGCACTCTGGGAGGCTGAGGCAGTTTGAACCCAGCCTTGGCAATTTAACAACCTAGTAAGACCCTATCTTAAAATAAAAATGGATGAGGATGTAGCTCAGAGTTCAATCCCTAATATACTAAGAAAGTGAGGAAAGAAAGAAAGAAGAAAGATAAACTTAGTTTTGCTTTTGACATTTAAATTCTTAGTTTATCCAGAGTTAATATTTTTATCTGGGTCCAATTTCCACATAGCAAACCAATTTTTCTAGCTTGCTTTTTTTTTTTTGGTACCGGGGGTCGGACTTGGGTTCTTGCGCTTGTGAGGCAGGCGGTGGAACCACTGAGCTAAATCCCCGGCCCATCTAGCTTGCTTTATTAAAATTTCTCTTCTTTTTTGTCTCTACTGATATGACATGTCTATTCTGTAATTATTGAGGGTATGTTGACAAATTCACGCATACATTCTCTGCCATTGGTTAACTTACTGTTCTGCCTACTGTAGCTTTGTAATAATCCCCTCCCTTCGCTTACTTTTCTCATCTAGGAAGACTTTGGCTCTAGTACTATGTAAAATTTAAAGTTTCTTTGTCCAGTCTTATGATAAATCATATTGCACTTTGGATTAGATTTTCTTTGAGTCTGTAAACAGTTTGGGGAGGAGAAGATCTTTATAGTATTGTCTCCTATTCTTGTGTGTTATCTCTCCATTTGCATAGGTCTTCTCAGTGTCTTTCAATAAAGTTGTAATTCTGCATGCAGTTTTTCTCATTTGTTGGGTTTCTCCTACAGATTTCTTTGAACTCAATTCCTGGCTTTGGTTTCGGTTTTTGGTGTTGTTTTAACCATCCAGCTGATGTGAACCTGGTCTACAAATGTTCTTAAGAGGAAGCTTATAAATAGCAGTTTCTCAGGGTCCCTTTGCACCTGCCCCACCTTTCTCTGATAGTCCCACAGCAGCTTTCCGTGCAGGTCAATGAAGTTGGAGGAACCCACTGCTTTATTTCTGGTTATCACTTACACTGATAAGCAGTCCCTTAAAGTCCAAGCTTTATTAAGACTCTGCCTTGGACACACCCTAGCCCCTAGCTTTTCTCCCATGGGCCCCTCAAGGAATCCAAAACGACTCATCCATTTCATCTCAGTAAATAAATGTCTTAGGCACAAGCCTGGCTTTAGGTTTCAACTAACCTCTCTGGTTTGTCTCTCACTGTGTTTTGGTCTGGTAATTTTTTTATGGGATTGTTGTATTTTTAATGTTTTAAATATAATAAAGAACTTAGTAGTAGTTTAAATTGTTTTAGCTGGAAGTTTTGCCTAAGCCAACTCTTCTGCCATATTATCTATAAGATAATTTTTGCTGTGTTTTAAACTGATACAGATTTTAATGGATCAAAGTAAAGATTGTCTTCATGTTGTGATCTCTTTATTTTGTGGCATAATTCATTCGAAAAGTTTTGTTCACTATAATTCATTCGAAAAATTTTGTTCGTTTTAAATTTCTTAATCAAAAATAGCTCAGTGCAACTACACTGACTTTACTAAATGTTAGATAATTATTTTGGCTACTTGGCTTACTAGGTTACCATCACTGTTAATCACATGGACTTTTTATATTTATTTATTTTTCTTTACCACAGTGAAATTTTCCATAACTCAGTGTTTTCCCTTTCCCTTCTTCCATCTTTATTATAGTTTACCTGTATTTTATAGAAAACTGTACATAACAACCTTGAATTTTTACATATATAACAGTATCAAAAAGCTTAGACATACCTATTTTATTTATTTATTTATTTATTTATTTCCCGTACCGGGGACTGAACTTAGAACCTTGCGCTTGCTAGGCAGGAACAGCACCACTGAGCTATATCCCTGGGCCCTAGACATATCTATTTCATCTTTAAATACAATATACAGTGGGCAAGATGGGTAACACATCCCCTGAATTAGATGAGGCACTGAGAGTGTAAGGAGCTTCCTTGAGGCCTCACAAGTGACAGGCAGGAAGTTGTCACAGTGGTCACTGAGTGTCTTGACAACTTCCTTCTGTTTCCTTATAATGGTTCCCATGGTCTCCTGTTTTTCAGTGCTTGAAGGCAGATCACAAAGACAGAATCTACAAATGATTTCTAAATTTTTTTAACCAAGATTCAAATTTTCATTTCCTTCAACTGGTAGAAGTGTTACTCTTGGTGGTCCTGGTATTTTTCTCCTACTCAATATGGCTCTGCAATGTAGAAATGAGTGAAGAAAAGTCCTGTCTGCTAAAATTCTGTTCAGTTGACACTTTGAGATTTAATTTTCAAGTTAAAAAATACATACAAAAGAGAATATATAGTGCACAATTAAAAATATGTATTCATTTTTCACTGTGATTTTATCTGGAGTTTGGATTGTTAATCTTGATGATATGAATCAGTTACTGTTTAGCAAATCACTTTAGGTTTTCCTTGCTGTACTGATAATGTTTAATTGTATATTTGATTTTCAAGAGGAAATGTGAAACTTGACAGGTGTTTTATTATTTTTAAACTTTATCAGGTCTTTGACATTTTGAACTCAGCTGAGTTAATCTGTCTTATGAGACATATTTTGATACCTAAAAACATTATTGCTGAATGCATGGTTTCTACGAATCCTAACAGCAAGAATGCAAACATCTGGCTGGGCTGCGGGCACACCGACAAAGGGCAGCTCTCCTGTCTTGACTTAAATACTGAAGGACACACTTTGGAGGTAAATATGAGTTGACTTTTAACTAAAACTGTTTTAGAACACTCACTTTACCATAAAAAAATTACTTTAGAAGAACTTGAATATAAGCCAATGAAGGAGTATTATTACCAAGTATGATTGAAATATACAGTGAATGCTTAAATTGGAAAAATTATTACAGTAAAAGACACATTGCCATTAGTCCCATTCAAAATATTCACCCTTGCTTCAAACTCACTTATCCCATTGCTCTTACCACTTTCTTAAGCAGTTCTGGAAGTCCTGTTTCATGAGTGTCTTTACTAGGTGTGAGTAAATATGGTGAGTGCCGCTGCTAAATATCATCCAGTGGAAAGCAGGCATGTAAAAACATTACCGGGTGTTCTCATCCATCTCATTCATTGAATCTGGCACTGTGTGACTTCTGGCTCTTCCCCAAAGTCAAAATGATCAGGAAATGTAATGTTTTGAATCAGTTTAGGACATGAGGCAGCCACAATAACACAACTGAAGATACTTACAAAGGGACTTTCACAGTTACTTCAGGAAGTGACAAGAACAATGGGATGAGTGTGTTGGAAATGGGGGGGGGTGTGTGAAATGACAATTTACCTTTCACTGTAATGATTTTTAAACTGTAAACATTCACCATATCTTTCAATCATACCTCATGTCTAATGAAGATGCAATGAGAATGGAAAGACAGGAATGAATTTTAAAAAGAAGTTGAGTAGAACAGTCTGATATAGTAACTTTAGGGGTAATTGTGCAGAACAGATGATAGAGTGATCTTTACACATACCTTAAGAATGAGCATGAGATGGTGGGGATTAAGCTCAGTGGTTCCGCCACCTCCCTTGCAAGTGCAAGGTCCTGAGTTGGATCCCAGGTACCAAAAACAAAACAGCATGAGAATACATTTTCTTGATACCAATACATAGAGAAGACACAGAGAGCTTTTGTCAGGAATGTGGCTTAAGGCCAATGGAATAATTCCTCCTACAGTTTTACTCAGGGAAGTTGGTGTCACAGCTGTAAGTATCAATGCCACTGTGAGATCCTTCCCTAAATCTAACAGTTTTTTTATTTTTTTTTTTTTTTTTTTTGGTACACCGGGGATCAAACTCCGGGCCTTGTACTTGCAAGGCAGGTGCGGTGCCACTGAGCTAAATTCCCAGTCCCCTAAATCTAACAAGTTCTTGTCTACTCTTTTATACAATCATAATCTGAAAGTCCATTCCAGCATTGTCAGCTTCCTCTGCCTTCTAAATTCTGTTCTAAGAAAACTTTGAAATGTTAAATTGGAAGTGGTACATTATTGTAGAAAATGATATATTATACATATCTAATAGTTTCAAACAATTTTATAATTTAAATATTTCTTCAAAAGTTTATTTATTTCTCCTAGAATAAAAATTCCCGTAGAACAAAAATTTTTCTAATTTTTAGACACTCAACTGTCTAATTTTAGACCATAATGTGTATGGAAAATAGAGAACCTTTTGTTCCACAATCCAAACAGATGCTGTTCGATATTTTCTGTATTTCCTCGTGGTATGAACATTGTTATAAGAACAGTCTCACTCATCTTGATTCTATTGTTCTTTCCACTGTTGAGCCTGAGATAGGTAATCTAGTGCATGTAATTTAAGGAAAGAAAAGCATGGAAAGAAGTAAAGGAAGCCAGTATGTTGAAGGAAAAAGCCCAGCAAAAATATGGTTTCTGAGGAAGCCAAGCCTCAGTCTCTGCCCCCAAGGAGCTTTAAAGTGACTGGAATCACAGATTTTCCCACCACCAGACCAGGGCCAGTCTTTCCATCTCACATTAGGCAGTCCCTGGCTGCCATTTGCTGGAGGTGTAAGCTCCAGGCCGCTAATGGACCAGTCATTGACCATCAGTGAGGAGCATTCTGTGTAAAGAGTGAATCTCTGAGCTGTCAGGAGCAGCAACTGGGGTCTGGATGCACCTGATACCTGACATAAGGGTGGTCTGGGTGCAACCCCTACTAGAGGGATCAATCAGTAAATTGCTAGAATTAAAAAATAACCTAACATTCTGACTGTTGCCTTGAAACAAATATTGTACTTAAAATTATGCTTAAGGCTGAACAACCTTCCACATGGTTTTAATGGAATGAGACTTGATACTGAAAAATAAATTTCAGTTTCTAATTTCAGTTTCAAATACATTCAAGATTGGTAAAGGCTGTTTGCCAGTTTACTCATTTGTTGTTGAAAACTCAATAAGATGGCATTGTTTTAAAAAGTAAATCCACAAAAGTGAAAAGGAGTTCATTCTGTGGAGTTCTAAGAGTGCAAGCCAAGTCCTCTCGAGTGTGTTTTTTTCTCTTAACAGGAGGTGACCGATAGTCGAATACTGTGCTTAGCTGTGGTGAATCTTCCTGCGGAGAAGGAGAGCTGGGTTGTGTCTGGGACGCAGTCGGGTTCTCTCCTGGTCATCAATACTGATGATGGAACAAAGAGACACACTCTTGAAAAGATGACAGATTCTGTTACTTGTCTGTATTGCAATTCTTTCTCCAAGCAAAGGTAAGTTTGTGCATTTAGTTTAGGGAAATTATATGTCCTTTAGACGACCTAAATGTGTACAAAATTGTTACTGCATCTGAAAAGATTGCTCGGCCTACTTTCACTGGTTTGCACCCATTAATGGAAGTTGGGAGATGCCACATTTCTACTTTTATTTTTCTCTATACAGATTTAAACTGAGGCAGTCATACAATAAGTCAACCATTTCTTTAGGCTCTTAGCTCAGCCATGACACTATCCCTGCTTCTCCTCTTGTCACTGTGGGTTCGTAGGGCCACTTCACAGTTGAAGTTTCATCCATTCTTTCTTTGAGTACATTTAGATATCATCAGCCTATTAGGTTCCAGGCTTACACATATCAGTTAACTAACTACCAAATTGGAGAAGAATGTAGTAAATTAATAAATTGTTAATAGGTAAAATGATTTAATCTTTACTATTTATAGGGATCTTATGCCAGTGAAGTGTAAGTGGTAGAATTTAGATGCGAGTCATAAGTTGGTTGCTGTAATATTTGGGGCAGGATAATTTCTAGGAACCATTTAGGTCATACCCTATATTCTTCTCTGGTTGAGGTGAGTAGTAGAAGAAAAGTACCAGAAAAATGTGAAGCCTAACATTTTGGTACCTGAGATATAAATTCCATTATTAACTTTGGAGTTGAAGTTATATGGATATTGTTAAAGAAAAATGTCACTGGATGGAGTTAAACAGGCAAGGAAGACTATTCAAGATTATGCCAATAGGGGAAAAATTGGACTCCTCTGAAACAAAAAATTTTAAGCACAGAGATAAGCTACAGTTGTGGAAAAGTATTGGGGAGTATTGTAGGTAGTGGTGGGTGCTAATGTGATGAGGCCACCTGTCCTGGCTAAGTGTCCCTTGTTACAGAGATAGAGAAAGTTTAGGGGCACAGCTCTCCTGATGAATATGCTGCAAAGAGGTGGCTCACAGGTCTTTGGGAAAGGTTTTGGTGTGTTATAAAACTAGCAAGATGCTGGGAAAAGATTTACATCTCAAAGGGTCAGAGAAAGAATTTCTAACCACAAGTTTTCTAAAGTAAATACTCTAAGGAAAGGGAGGTCAGGAGTCTACAGTCGGAAGGAACTTTTCTAAAGTTTAGTCAAGCTGGGGAGAAATTTAAGGTTGTCTTAGCCAGTATAAATGTTCTTTTTTTTGATAACAATTTTGACATTTTTCTTTTAGCAAGCAAAATAATTTTCTTTTGGTGGGAACTGCTGATGGCAACTTAGCAATTTTTGAAGATAAAACTGTTAAGGTAAATGTTGACTGCATTCTATATCAAATTTGTTTTATTTTATTTTAAAATATTTTTTAGTTTTTTTGAGACAGGGTCTTGTTGTGTGGTCCAGCCTGGTCTTGAACTCACTATGTAGCCTATGCTGGCCTTGAACTCATGGCGATCCTCCTGCCTCAGCCTCCCAAGTACTGGGATTACAGGCGTCCATCACCATGCCCATCTAGTCTTGCAGAAAGTAGACCCTCTGAAAATACTTGCTGATTATATATTTTATATGAATGCACTAAGGATAACATGATAAGTGAGATCTGATTTGTAATGTTGGGAATGAAAAGAATTCAATTTGTATCAGTGCAGTAATAATTCTTTATAAATATATTGTGGAAAAAAATAAGGATACTTAAGCTTGTAGCTAGGGGTGTAGCTCAGTAGAGTCATGCTTAGTGTATACAAGGTCCTGGATTCAGGCTCCAGCAACACATGCACACACATACACACACACACACACAAACACACACACATGCACACACAAGAAGGACAGGAAAAGTAAGTCTGGCTTGCTATTAACTATTTGTTTAGCATTAATCTGTTGGGAGCAATGCTACATAATTCTAGGGATAAATCAGGACTAACTGCAGAGGTTCTGGTAACGTCCCCTTCCCCTGTCCCCTACACTAATCATTTAACTTTTTGTTCTTTAAATTCTCATTTAGTTATTAAAGCATTTATTACTTCATCTACTGGCTTGTGGTTCCATTTTTTCGTTAAATTTCCTACCCATGCATTCATATTTCTTGATATTGTGTAAGGAAAGACATGGAAGTGTAGTCCCTAAATTATTTCTCATGCAATTTTTGCATGAAGTGAAGAAACTGGTTACAAAGATAATGTTTTGAATACCAGTTTAATCGAATCCTGTTTTATAGGAACTTTGAAAAGTGGGTCTGAATTTTTATTTTATTATCTCTACTCATTTGCAATGGAAAGCAGTTTTATAAAGAAAAAATTGTATAGTGCATCACTCCACAGACACTGGATTTATTGAATGTTTTCTCTTAATGACAAAGTGTAAGGGAGCTGCGCCTCTGAAGACACTAAATATAGGGGATGTCAGCACCCCACTGATGTGTTTGAGTGAATCCATGAATGCAAGTGAAAGGAACATCACGTGGGGAGGATGCGGCACAAAGATTTTCTCATTTTCTAACGACTTCACGATTCAGAAATTAATTGAGACAAGGACAAATCAGCTGTAAGTGATTTCCTTCTATACAATTAATTTGTCATTTATTTGTATTTATTCCTTCTAGCTACATCAATAATACTTTTATTTCATAATGAAGATCATTTAAAATGCATACTTTTTTCTATTAGAAAATTAAACATTTATTATAGAAAATGTAGAAAATTCCAGAATGCAAAGGAATATTTTTAAAAAATCACCTAGCCTAACCGCTTTCAGGGTAAAATACATAAACATTATAATCCTAGTGGTATTTATCAATCTAAATTTTCAACCATTTCACGATCTCTGTTTCAAATTACACACTTGGAATTTGAAGGCAATCAACTCAATATTTTACTAAACCATTATTATATATATATAGAATGGTGGACAAGACCATGCATTATAGTTCAAATGTTGGCTTTGACTTTGTGAACTTGGGTAAGAACCTTTCAAATCTCAGTCCTCTCTTACTTCAAGATTGTAATGTACTGCCCAGAACCCGGAAGGAAGCTCCCTGCCTCCATCCCAGGCTCCTAGGGCAGTGAAGCTGAGCCGGTCCCAGCAAACGGAAGGAAGCTCCCCGCTGCCATCCCAAGCTCCTAGGGCAAAGAAGGTGAGCTGCGTGGGGCGCCAGAAGCACCCCC